CCTAAGCCCCCCGGGTCGGCTGGTGCTGCCGCCACTACTCTGGCAACGCTGCTGCCGCAACGGGCGCCGCCGCAAGTGCCTCCGTCGCCGAGCGGCTCTAGCGCCTCCAGTACCATCGGCACCCTCCCGCCGCAAGTGCCCACAACGCTGCCGTCGAAGATGTCGTCGTTCATGGGCCGGCTGTTCTCGCTGAAGCTGCTTAAGGGGTTCCGTCCCCGTAAGCTTCTGGAACTGCTGGTGGCGCTGAAGAACAACGGGGTGGTGCCTCCGGCGGTGCCCTCGATCCCCAAATCCAAACTGCATCTGCTGCTGCTTGCGCTGCACACCGTGGGCCACGCCTACGAAAAGACCGACGGCCTGACCACGGCCCCCATCACCCAGTCGCTGCGATTCGAACTGCAAGAGTTGCCCAAGCAGCGTACTAAGGAGTCGATTGTGACGCCGTCGCCAAGAACTCGTCCCTCAGCGCCTCCCCCGCCGCCACCGACGACGACGCTGGGATTCCCATCTAAACTTGGTCCCCAGCTGCCCAACACCAACATCACCACCAAGCCTCAGGCACCGCCTACGCCGATCCTGGCGGCGGCCCAAGCCCTCGACCAGGCGACCACCGCCCCTACTCGCGAGGCTTACTACGAGCAACAACAGCTTGCCCGCCAAGCGCTGGAACGCATCCAGCGCCAGCAAAAGGCGGAGGCGCTGCCTGTTGCTCCTCAACTGAAGCCAATCACTCACGACCCGCTCCAACAAAAGCAACTCCCGTCGTCGCAAGCGCCGCCAGTGCCGCAACACGCGCCGCAACAGCAGCCAGTGCCGCAACGCCATCCGAGCCAGCAAGGTCAACCGGGACAACCCGCCCCGTCGCCTTCGTTCTCAAAGGGTTCTGGGCGCGATGCTAAACAGGCCCAGATCTTGCAGGCGAAGAAGCGTGAGGACAAGAAGCGCAAGCACGCCCAGATCATCGCCAAGTTGCAACTGATTTGTCTGGATGGTGACCCCAACGTGTACTACCAGGACCTCGTCAAGATTGGCCAGGGGGCACTGGGTGGCGTGTACATCGCTCAAGACAAGCGTCACAGCCTGCAACACGTGGCCATTAAGCAGATGAACTTGGAGCAGCAGCCGAAGAAGGAGTTGATCATCAACGAAATCTTGGTGATGAAGGGGCTGCGCCACCCGAACATCGTCAACTTCATCGACCTGTACCTTGTTAAAGGCGACTTGTGGGTGATTATGGAGTACATGGAAGGGGGGTCGTTGACGGAGATTGTCACCCACTCGGTGATGACGGAAGGTCAAATTGGTGCTGTGTGTCGCGAAACGCTCAAGGGGCTCCAGTTTTTGCATCTGAAAGG